GTCGGAACAAGACCTCATATCTCCAAAATGGTAACTTTACAGGAGAAGGAAAAAACATACTTTACTTTTGGTCCATTAATCAACAATTTACACACAATGCAAAGTGCAACAGGCATTTTCACATTATGTCAAAAAATGACAAAAATGGAGATATGAGGTTTTGTTTCCGACAGTAGCGACATACACTATATTTCCAAAAGTATTCACTCACCCATCCAAATCATTGAATTCAGGTGTTCCAATCACTTCTATGGCCATAGGTGTATAAAACCAAGCACCTAGGCCTGCAGACGGCTTCTACAAACATTAGTGAAAGAATGGGGCAGGACCTCAGTGAATTCCAGCATGGTACCGTGATAGGATGCCACCTGTACATGAATCATGCTTCTTCATCTGGCAATCCGATGGACAAGTCTGGGTTTGGCGGTTGCCAGGAGAACGGTACTTGTCTGACTGCATTGTGCTGAGTGTAAAGTTTGGTGGAGGTGGGGTTATGGTGTGGGGTTGTTTTACAGGAGTTGGGCTCGGCCCCTTAGTTCCAGTGAAAGGAATTCTTATTGCTTCAGCACCAAGAGATTTTGGACAATTTCATGTTCCCAACTTTGTGGGAACAGTTTGGGGACGGCCCCTTCCTGTTCCAACATGACTGTGCACCAGTGCACAAAGCAAGGTCCATAAAGACATGGATGAGCGAGTTCAGTGTGGAAGAACTTGACTGGCCTGCACAGAGTCCTGACCTCAACCCGATAGAACACCTTTGGGATGAATTAGAGCGGAGACTGCAAGCCAGGCCTTCTCGTCCAAAAGAGAACACGTCTCCACTGCTCAGCAGTGGCGGCGCTTTACACCACTGCATTTGACGCTTTGCATTGCGCTTGGTGATGTAAGGCTTGGATGCAGCTGCTCAGCCATGGAAACCCACTCCATGAAGCTCTCTATGCTGTTCTTGAGCTAATCTGAAGGCCACATGAGGTTTGGAGGTCTGTAGCGATTGACTCTGCAGAAAGTTGGTGACCTCTGCGCACTACTTGTACATGTGTGTGTGTGTGTATGAGTGTGTGCGTGTGTGTGTGTGTATGAGTGTGTGCGTGTGTGTGTGTATGTGTGTGTGTGCGCGTGTGTGTGTGTGTGTGTGTATGAACAAGTCATTGAACATTTTTAGAGACTATGTGCACTAGGCCCCAGTGGGCTAACAGTGATGACCAGATGCTGCCCTCTACTGGCTATAATTGAACATGCACTAAAGATACAGTAAGAACACACTGAACAGTCTCAGATCAATTTTCCATCTTCTTTGTCTTCCAGGTAGTTTATATTATACATAATTAAATATTCAAAATATTCATTTATAACTGATTTAAGGGTATAAAATTGGTTCTCCTCAGATCCAGCGTCAACCCAAAGCCAACCCCTCAGAGACTCTGCAAATCACAGGGTGAGTCAATATTGTATTTCAGAGCAGGTTTCCATTGGAACAGGCATCCACCATGTTTAATACTGAATCATCAATAACTGAAATGCTGACCTATCTGACTTACACTGAAAAAAAACACCCTAAACATCAATTGAACTGCTCCAAATGGAGTATAATAATTGAGTTCACATCAAATACATGACCTACTCTAATTTTATTATTACTGTTTTTATTTTATTTCTGCTTTTAGGTTTCTCTTGTCGTCTATGAGGAGATTGAAGAAAATAGGCACCTTTCTGCCACAGTCTACTCTATGGCTCAACTACCTACAAGCCCCTCAGAACCTTTTCAAACCGTTTATGATATTGCTCAGTTACCCAAAAACCCTTCAGAACCTTCTAAAACTGTTTGTGATATTGTTGAGTTACGCTCAAACCCCTCAGAACCTTCTAAAACTGTTGATGATGATGTTCAGTTACCCTCAAACCCCTCAGAACCTTCTGAAACTGTTGATGATAATGTTCAGTTACCCTCAAACCCCTCAGAACCTTCTGAAACTGTTGATGACAATGTTCAGTTACCCTCAAGCTGTGATTTCTCAAATCCTATTCATTCTCCTGCTCAGTCACCATCAAACTCTCCTGATCAGGACATCTACTCCACAACTCAGTTACCCACAATTCTCTCTGATTCTTCAGCAAGTTCTACTTAGTACTCAAATGGAAAATCTGCTAAAGGTCCAACATACTCAATAGTGAATTTCAGCAAGAATGCAGATAGTTATATTGATGCTGTTACCATGGCAACCATCAACAAGGAGAATGACTCATCTGAACGATTTCATATTACACTTGTATTCTCATCTATTTCCACCAGAATGAGACGGTATGTTTGTTTTCACACAAAGAAATGTTTACTTCTGGTATGAATGTGGTACACAAGAATGTTTACACTTTCATGTTTACAGATGAGAAATGAACCTTAAGCTTTGTTTGCTTTAAATATTAATTCAGTGGGCATATAGTCCAGCTTAAATAGCCCAGTTTAACTTCAGTTACCTTTAAAACGGTAGTAGTGTGCAGTAGTGTGTAGTTTGTAGAATCAGTAAAATTAGAGATTTTACTGAATGTCAACTGTAGTTCAGCTTAACCTGTGCATTTGTATTATTCTTTGCACATTTTTTTAAACAATATCCTCTTAAACTCTACATGTATTATTCAACAAGACAGTAAATTTGGGCCATCAGGTGGCACTGCATTAGAACCAGACACAATTCAGTAGTGGAAAACACTGCGTGGACACAAGAACACCTCGGAAAACCACTGTCTCTGAACAGTTGCTGCTACATTCACAAATGCAAGTAAAATCTCTACCATGCAAGGAAAAAAACATCTATAAAAAGGATCCAGAAACGCCGCCGCCTTCTCTGGGCCCGAGCTCATTTAAAATGGACTGAGGCGAAGTGGAGAAATGTCCTGTGGTCTGACAAATGAAAAATTGAAATTCTTTTTGGAAATCATGGACACTGTGTCCTCCGGGCTAAAGACGACTCAGATTGTTATTTTATTTATGCAAAAAACAAAACAATACATTTTTGTTTTAACATTTGATATGTTGTCGTTGTACTATGTTTAATAAAATACAGGGTTTACATTATTTGCATATCATTGCATTCTGTTTTTATTTACATTTTGCACAGCATCCCAACTTTTTTGGAAATGGTTTCATTAAATAATGAATGACTCTTAATACCTGATTAGCTCATTATTAGTCAGTTGTGAAGGAACAGCTAATAGATGTCTTATAAAGTACTGTTATAATAAATTATTTGATTAATCTCTCTCTTTATTCACATTTTATTACACAGAGAAAACAGGAAAGATTGCACAGTCCTGCTGTTACACACTTTGTGCTCTAGACGGCAGTAGAGGCCTTCTGACAGAATCAGAAACATATTCATTCACTAACGGCTAATTTGGAGAAACCGGAGGAAAATTCTACTGATCAAATGATGATCTCTGATGGTTCAGAAGACTTAATGGTTATTCTACTAAATTCCATGGGAGAAATAACATTAGAAAAAATAAGAAATAAGATACATGAGCGATAAGGAGAGATAATTCAGTTGCAGACGAACATGAGTGTTATTATCTCAGCAGATCTGAGCAGAATGTGTGACTTTATTAAGATCTCTACTAAAACCCAAAAAGACGTGAGATTACTGGGCTCTTTTTCTCAGGAGAAACATTTGAACAGCAAGAAAGACATAAGATAAGGTCTCATCTGTCTTTCCATGTCATTGTTTTCTAGAAGAACCTACTAAGATATTAAGGAGATCTCTTTTGTACGTTTCCTTCTGATGGGTACTTGATGTAGTTATGTTATAAATGAGGTTTGGGAGGGACATACCTGAAACCCCTTCTTCTTCCAATCTAACACCCTATAAATTCACATCATCGCCTTCTGTTCCTGTGACGAAGGGTTCACAATCCCCACTGCCACCCTTCGCTTTGTTCTTCAGTCCTACATCAGTCCTACTACAGCTATGAGGGGGGTCTGGCCTTTTAGCTACAGGCAGAAGCTGCCCCGAACTCCAGCCTTAGTTATCAGAGTTCTCCCCCTCTCTTAATAAGTCTTCCCTCATACTACCATCATGTCTGAGCTCACAAACAAGAAATGTAAATCAAATGGACAGATTCATGCAGTTAACAGTTAAGTTATAGGTGGTGTACAAACTACAGACTAAGGGCTGCTGAGTGAATATGGATTCCCCTGCATTGATTAGTTTAGTTGTAAAATGACCAAAGACATGCTTCCTGCCTCAACATTAGTTTCCTTAAAAATATGATCTTAAAATACTCTCAGAGTTGAGCTAAAACATTAAAATACTTACATGAATGAGTTATTGCTTTTGTAGGTCTTTATTGAGGGATACAGGGATAGGCTCCTATTTAGATCACTGCGTAGGTTGCAGTGAGTTTCCACAGCAGTTCTGCCTCCATTGTGTGTGTTTGAGTAAGTTTGGTGGGCAGATCTGTGTTGTTATGAGTTTTGATCATGTTCATACTGAGGACACTGGGGCGAGTGGTCATTCATACTGCAGTACAGTACAGCTGTCTTTCTAAGTGCTGCACTCTAGATGGCACTACTGATGTCCTTTTTCAGACCAGCTCACAAATGACATCACAGCACTGCTGTAATGTATTAGAACTAAACATATAACTATATTTAGAGTTGAGGGCCTCATCAGACAACTTTCAAGAAACGGAAGTCAAATAGAGATGATTAACTTACAACACAATGAAGTGCTAAAGAATCCTGGTGAACTCTGTAGTTTGTCACACAGTAATAGACCAAACAAAGCATTTACTCTCAGTAAATCTAGCAACAAAAAATGGTTTGAAAAACATATTTTCAAAGTTTATGATGACTGTTGCTGTTACGTTTCACTGCTACAGCAGGCAGAGAAGAAAATAATCACGCTTTCTCTCATCGGGTGCTGAAGGGAAATGGGCGGGTTTATCATTCTGGTCAGTTGAACCAAAAGCAGAAGAATAGATTCAGACACAGCTCAGACAGAGAAACACAAAAACAGAGATGAGGATCTAAAGACATGAACATCTAATACGCTTTTGATGTGGAGCCGGAGGTAATATGGATAAAACTGGAATGACTAGGAAGATCCTCCTCATCTTCACCCTCTTCCTGATTTCAGGTAAGGAGATGCTCTTCTAAATAATCATCACTATCAGCAGAGTCAAATGAAGCCTTTACTCAGATGGACATTTGTCCTCTTTTAGTAGGTGGAGGAGAATCAGAGAGAGTGACAGGATATTCAGGAGGAGGAATCCTCATCAAGTGTAGATATAATACAACCTACACATCAAACACAAAGTATTTCTGTAAGAGTTTATGGCCAAACTGTACTGACCAAATCAAGAAAGGAGTTAAAAATGAGTGGATAAAATCAGGAGGATTCTCTCTGTTTAAGACAGGAGATAAAAATGAGTGGATACATTCAGGAAGATCCTCACTGTTTGATAACACCAGTGCTGCAGTGTTCCAGGTGATGATCAGTAATCTCACTGTAGAGGATTCTGGAACGTACCAGTGTGGAGTTCATATAGATTTCAAGAATGACATCTACACTCCAGTGGAACTGAAGGTAGAGGAAGGTGAGTGTCTCCCAACACTGCACTTGTTATGCTAAACTTCCAGCGTCATATCGTCAGCTACAGTGAGAGTGAACATACAGAATCCAGTAAACCTCTGGGAACAAATGAACACGTTTCTACTCAACATTCTTTTCCCTGAAAATATAATAAGGGTGTGGCCTTCAAAGAAGTGACAGAATATGCAGAGGGAGGAGGCATAATAATGTGCATATACAAATATAAATAGAAAAATACAAAAGTACCTGTACAGTCAGATATACAGATAGTGATTATGAGCATTAACAATCAGTTGTGTATGACTGACAGATCAAGACTGTGAAAAGAGCATCAGTGTGTCTGGTCATGTAAGAAGAAGTGTCAACATCAGCTGCAAATACCCACAATCCCACAGCAGTGACCCCAAATTTCTCTGTAGCAAAGTGCGCAGTGCTGTCTGTAAATATAAAACATCTGTTAAAGAGAGCAGAAGATGGATAAATGAGGGAAAACTGTATCTACATGATGATGGAAAGCAGATCTTCACTGTGATCATCAACAGTCTGACTGAGGGAGACTCTGGTGAATACTGGTGTGGAGCTGAATCAGACTGGACATCTGACCATGGATACAAGGTTTATATCACACAGATCAACCTCAGAGTTACTGGTGAGTAGATATGAATTAAATTAATCTGCTTACTTTTAAACACTTTCTTCTATATCTTCATGGAGTTTAGATATAAGAGCTGTACAGCATAATAACTAAAGATTCTATCATTGAATTTCAGGGAGTCTGCAGTCTGGAAAAGGTTAGTCTAATGAAAGCGGATTGATTCAAAGTCTGTTCTAAAGCATTTTGTTAGTAACCTCAAATGTACACAAGACTACTACAAAAATGAATAAATTACCATTTTAAATGTAGTTTGTTTTATATAACTTACTCATTAAGAAATAAGGACAGTTTATTGACAATATGAGATGACATCTGAAAAGCCTTTCATCTTCATCTGCATTAACAGAACAACCAGCAACAACATCATCCTCAACATCACCATCAAGCTCAACTCCACAGAGCACAGAAACAGCCTCCTCTACATCTACAATGAATTCATTATTCAAGATTTCAACAGGTATAATATTTATACTGTATATATCCTGGGAAACTGTAGTCAGTTAGCAACAATGACATCTAGACTGTTAAACTGACATTTTTCCTCCAGGTCCAGATGTTCTATCACTATCATCAACACACATCAGTTCACCAACCACAAAACCAACCACATCCTCAACGTCTAAACCCTCATCCTCTCCACTCTCTGCAACAGGTATGTACAAATAAAGAACTTCTGCTCTTCCATTGTTAGTTTGATCACTTTTAAATGATCAGATTATTGTTTGTATCTGATTCTCTAATTTAGATTCTCCATCTCCAGCATTTCCAGTTTCCTCTGTGGTCACTGGTGTGTCTGTTATTGTGCTGCTGCTTCTGATTGGACTCCTATTCTTCATAGTTACTCTTAGAAAGAGAAGCAAGACTCAAGGTACCATCACACAGAAACATATACACAAAATGGATACTTCAACATGCACACATTGTGATTTGACCTACTAACTTCATCATAGGAAACAATGTTTAGTGAAGACAATTCCAGTCCTGTGGTTTTGGACTGATTAATGACAAATTCCATTCGGTCTCTGGACATATTACTGGTTTCTCCCAAACACTTTCTAAAAGGGATTTTTCGATCATTATGTTCAGAAGTGAGTGTAGCATGAGTCATTAAACACATTCATTAGGCCTCAAATTCACTAGGCCTAAGTGGACTAACAGTGATGGACAGATGCTGTCCTCTGCTGGCTGAAAATGAATATGCATCCAAACAGAGTAAGGACAGACTGTTAACATATCCACTACATTAAATGTCATTTACTATTGAGCACAATCATCATCATCATCATCATCATCATTAACCACTTAGTCCAGATAGAGTTGCGGTAGCAGTTGGGAGAGCAGAAAATCCCAGACGACCTTGTCCCCCGCAACTTCCTCCAGCTCATTCCCGGGGACCCCAAGCAGCTCCCAGGCCAACTTGCAGATATAATCCCTCCAGCGGGTCCAAGGATGACTCCGGGGTCTTGTCCCGGTAGGCCGTGCCTGGTACACCTGCACCGGGAGGCGTCCAGGGGGCATCCGGATCAGATGCCCGAACCAACTCAACTGGCTCCTCTCAATGCAGAGGAGAAGTGGCTCTACTCTGAGCTCCTCCCAGATGACCGAGCTCCTCACCCTATCAACTAGAGTGTAGCCCTCCACACTGCGAAGAAAGGGTCCTGGATCGGGGCCTTGCTGTGGCAGGAGGGTTTGTGTGGTTGAGGGATCTTCAGAGCTAAGTCGTTGGGAGCAATACGCTCCTGGTAGGGTCTCCGAGGGCAAACAGGTCTGGAGTGAAGACCCAGACTAACTCGATCCAAAAACCCTCCATGAAAAACGGACACAGAAGACAGTGTACCCTGCCCGGGAGAGGGTCACTGGGACCTACCCCTGGAGCCAGGCCTGGGGGTAGCGTCCCTTGGCGAGCGCTTGGTGGCGGGGCAGCCCATGTTACCCAGCCAGGCTTAGCGTGAAGAGACAACGTGGGGGCAGTATAGGCAGTGGGAGATGGCGGGGAGGCCCTTGGCGGCATGGGCCCCTGCGGCAGAAATTGGCTGTTGAGCACAATGTCTTTGCCAATTCTTAATGTATGGCTGATTTAAATTATGGATTTTTTCTTCCTCCTCAGGTCCAGCCTCAACCCAAAGCCAATCACAAAGAGGCTCCTCAGACCACACGGTGAGTCATGATTGTATTTCAAAGCATCTTCTCATTGAAACAGATATGAACTAATGACATATTTAACAATGAACTGTCAGTAACTGAAATTTTGATCTAACTCACACAAAAATGTGAAACTGACCACTAGTCTAACTGCTGTATAAGAAGTAAAATAGTTGAGATCACTTCGATTGAAACTGACCAGTTCTAGTTTCCATTGTTGCTATTTTTAATCTCTGCTTCTTAGGTTTCCCGTGATGTCTGTGTCTATGAGGAGGTTAAAGACATTTCATCCTCAGATGCTGGAGCTTCTACAGTCTACTCTACTGCTGAACTACCTACAAACCCCTCAAAATCTTCTCAGACTGTTGATGATAAAGTCCAGTTACCCTCAGACAGTGATTTCTCAAATCCCATTTATTCTTCTGCTCAGTTACCATCAAACTCTCCTGATCAGGACATCTACTCCACAGCTGGGTTACCCACAAGCCTCTCTGACTCCTCAGCAAGTGCCACTCAGCATTCATCTGGAAAATCTGCTGAAGGTCCAACATACTCAACAGTGAATCTCAGCCAGAATGCAGATAGTTCTACTGATGCTGTTACCACGGCAATCATCAACAAGGAGAACGACTCATGTGACTATGCTACAGTCAAATGTTAGAGGAAGCAGTTTTCATGTTGCACTTGTATTATCATCTATTTTCTATTCTTTTACTTCTAGAAGTGTGTAAATGTGTTATTTGTTATTGAGATTTATCCCTAAAATGGCTGAAGAACACCTGGCTTGTTATTTTATTATGGACAAAAAAACAATAAATTTCTCCGTTTCAACATTTGACATGTTGTCTTCGTACTACTTTTGATTAAATAAAGGGTTTACATGATTTTCACATTATTGCATTCGGTTTCTACTTACATTTTTCACAGCATAGCAGCTTTTTTGGAAACAGGATTGTATTATATAATGATGAATAACTCTTAATATTGATGATTAGTTCATTATTAGTCAATTGTGAAGTAAAAGCTAATAGATGTCTTATAAACTAGAGTTATTTTAAAGCACTTAATCTCTCTCTTTAATCACATTTGTATTACATAGGGAACACAGCAAAGATTGCTCAGTGCTGCTGTTACACACATTGTGCTTTAGATGGCAGTAGAGGCCTTCTGACACAGAGCAGCACAGAATCAATGACGTAAACATGAATATTCAACAGTGGATTCATACATATTCATTCACTAACAGCCAATTTGGAGAAACCAGGGGACAGTTTTACTGATCGAATGCTGCTCTTTGATGGTTCAGAAAAGGTTATCCTACTAAAAATAACAGAAGATACAGGAGAGATGAGTCCAGTTACGGATGAACACGAGTGTTATTATCTCAGCAAACCTGATCACACTGTGTGACTTTATTAAGATCTCTACTAAAATTCAAAGAAGATGTGAGATTCTCCCAGTCCTGGGCTCTTTTTCTCAGGAGAAACACAAGATAAGGTCTCCTTTGCTTTTCCGTCTGATCTCATAGTTTTCTAGAAGAACCTACTGAGATATTAAGGAGATCTCATATTTTACTTTTCTTTCTGATGGGTACTTGATGTAATTAACTGAAGTTTGGGGGGAGGAACATACCTGGTACCCCTCCTTCTTCCAATCGAACACTCTATAAATTCACATCTAAATAGTCATCACTTTGTCAAAAGTACTTTTTGTGATGTTTGCAGATCCAGCCTCATGTTTCCCTAATTCTCCCAGATCTCAAAACTTATTAGCATCTAGTTTTCATTACTCCAATACATATTAGAAATTATTTAGTGTATTTCTAGTAACTCTGAATATGGACTTCCCCTGCATTCATTTAATACAAATATATAGATCCTTCATACCTCAACCTCTGTTTGTCCAAAAAAAAATAAATAAATAAATAAAAAAATAGTTACAGACGAAGGGTTTGGCCTGAAGAGAAGTAACAGAATATGCAGAGGGAGGAGTCGTAATCAAATGCAGATATCAGGGCTAATAAAACACACATATGTCTGTAAAATAAGAAGAAAAATAAGTGATATTTTGTACATACTGTGTAGGTGAGTTTAAGTGTTTTCATTTAATTGTTTATGATTGACAGATCTGTCCTACGAGAAGAACATCAGTGTGACTGGCCATCCCACAATCCCCAAGTTTCTCTGTAGGAGAGTGGGCACTGCTGACTGTAATTATAAAACACCTGTTAATGAGAGTGAAAGATGGATAAAGCAGGGAAATCTGTATCTACATGATGATGGAAAGCAAATCTTTATTGTGACCTTCAATAATATGAATGTGGGAAACTCTGGTGAATACTGGTGTGGAGCTGAATCAGACTGGAAATCTGACCATGGATACAAGGTTTATATCACACAGATCAACCTCAGAGTTACTGGTGAGTAGATATGAATTCAATTAATCTGTTTACTTTCAGACACTTTCTGTCTATATATTTTATCATTTTAAGGTAAGATGTGTGCAGTATTAGAATTTAAGATCCTATCATTGAATTTCATTGAGTCTGCAGTCTGGAAAAGGTCAGTCTAATGAAATCGGATGGCTTCAAAGTCTGTTTAAAAACATTTTATTTGTATCCTGAAATGTACACAAAACAACTACAACAAAATGCATTAATAACTATTTTAAATGTAGTTTGTTTTACATAACTTATTTACTCATTAAGAAAACAAGTACAGTTTAATGACAATATAAGAATCTGAAAAGCCTTTTTTCCATCATCTCCATTAACAAAACGACCAGCAACATCATCACCATCATTACCATCAGGCTCAACTCCACAGAGCACAGAAACAACCTCCTCTACAACTAAAACTACAGTGAATTTAGGACTTCAATAGTTATAATATTCATACTGTATATATCCTGGTAAACTATAGTCAGTTAGAAATAATGACATCTACACAGTTCAACAAAACTACATTTTTCCTCCAGGTCCAGATGTTCTATCACTATCATCAACACACATCAGTTCACTGAACACAAGACCAACCACATCCTCAATGTCTAAAACCACTGTCTGTCACAGGTATTAACACTTACTGTACAAATGAAGACCCTCTGCTCTTGTACTGTTAGTTTGATCACTTTTGAATGATCAGAATGTTGTTTGTGTCTGATTCTCTAATTCAGGTTCTCCACCTCCAGCATTTCCAGTTTTAGCTATGATCACTGTTGTGGTTGTGATTCTGCTGCTTCTGATTGGACTCTTATTCTTCAACGTGAGTTTTAGAAAGAGAAGCAAGACTCAAAGTACCATCACACAGAAACATATACAGAAAATGGATACTTAGACATGCACAGGTTGTTATTTGGGCTACTAATTCAACATACAAAATGATCAAAGGAAAGATTTCAGTCCTAAATTAATTCCTCATTTATGATAAATTACATTCAGTCACTGGACGTATTATTGGTTTCCCCAAAACACTTAATAAGGACGCAGGTCTGTATGTTCAAAAGTTTGTGCAGCATGAGTCATTAAAAACAATCATTAGAGACCAAAAAAGTTCACAAGGCCTCAGTGGACTAACAGTGATGGACAGATGCTGCCCTCTGCTGGCTATAAATGAACATGCATCCAAACAGAACAGACTGT